TATATATATATATATATATATTGAGTTAGAAATGATAATAGAAAGCAATTTATTGTATATCAAGTTTCTCACCGAAAGCATAATCCAAATGTTGTTCTTATTGATGAAGAATACAACAGAACAATGTCGTCTCAAAATGGTCGGTCATTTTGGCTACTAAGCAGAAATAAACGGTTGAGCAAATAATTATTTAAAAAATTAGTTAAAAAAGTGAAAAAGCCTAAGGATTAAATAAAGAAAATAACAATCCTCTTATCTACTATAGAAATCTTGCTGGAAAAAGTTTTCACAAAGATTCTTTAGCAACTTATTTAGTTAGCGGATTAGGAATTTCAGGGAGGTGAAAAGACGAGGTTTAGAGCAACTTCTAATGATGCGTTGACGTCGCATTGAAACAGCCAATACTTTTAAAGGAGCATTAACGGAATAACTAAGAGGTGCGAATGGCCCTAGTAAAAGAAAGAGAGAGATGTCGATGATGTTATTGGACCATATTCTAACGAAACTGATTAAATTATTGAGAAACTTGCTTTCATTCCCAACAAATGCCACTCCCAAGTGCGCAAACACCAAAGTATTTTAAGGTTATTGTCCAGAAATGAACTGGATGAAATTGGAGGAAATAGTTCCACTTTAAGAAGTTGAGCTGATCAATCCGCACAAATTAATTGTTTTATACTAAACCATCACTTCCCACGTTATGGGTAACTTCAAATCGAGCATATATTTCATTTAATACTCCGAATGATCACAGCCGGCAGAGTTTATCATTTTCTCCTTCAAAATCCAAAAACAGTGTTGCCGGATTCCATAAATGACCTATGATTAGGAAGATATTACCTTGAAATGTATCATAGCAGCTTTCTTACTCTCTCATTGTAAAATCTAGCCGTGCATCTCAGGTCAATCACTGTTTATACACTCCAGGAATTAATGCAAATTAGTGTGTGGAACGATGCAGCGCTACTATTACAGTCGATGTAATTTGGTTGCGAAGTATTGGTAGCTTGACTAATGAGTAGTTATCAACGCCCACTAAAGGAACTGGACCATAGCATCTTGCACACCAATTAACTCAGTATTCGGCAGCGGCAGAGTAAATCATGGACGACGGATAATACGAATCCCATATATGCAAATTAAAGATGGAAATCTAAGAGACATTTACATAAGAGTCAGTATAAAGAGATAGAATTTTAAATCATTTTGGAAAGTTTAGTTAATCACTTGACAAAGTTTTCAGACTTTACAAAACATAAACTGTGTGTAATCTAGAGATTACAGTTCTGAGAAAAAGAAAGAAGGAGAAAGAAACAAACATGAAGAAAAAAATTGGAAAATTTTGTGCTACCTTTGCAGCTGGTGCTCCTCAACTGAATCCTTTCTATTAAGACTTTAAAGTCTTTGATATCTGCAATTCTAGCAGTGAATTTCTATAACAAGTAAATCAGATGCAATTGTTGAATCCGCCTACTCGTTAACCCAAATAATTCAACACAAAACTTGAACTAGGAGGGAGAGAAGTAGTTATGAAGATGTGGCATAAGAGAGAAAAACAAAAAAGACAATTGAGATGAAAACTAACAGAGCTTACTGGCAACATAACTGAAAAGGAAAGTAGGCAGCATGACTAAATACATAGGTTATGTATATCAAAGTTGATTACAATGTAAAGCGTTTCTAAAAATTTCTTTAAAGTTACCTCGTTTTGTGCTATGTTGGAGAATGCTGTACCATCTTCTATGAACAGAGGAAGCTACCGTAGTATTGTACAAGAACGTTTATGTATCACCTTTGCTCTTCAGAGAATATGAAGAATGAAAAAGAAAACGGAGGAGGTTAACGTAGAGCAAATGAGACGAGAGGCAAAGCAAATAGAATACACCTTATGGAAAGAGCTACAAAACTGTAAAGAGTACTGAATTTACGATAGCAATAAAAGCACAAAAGTGAATATTAAAACTAATATGTTTTGGTCGTCCTATATTGGAAAAGTCATCGATGAATGATAAATGATGAAATAGGTGGAGCGGCAAATGAGCCATAAATTGTTTCGATGTTGTTCTTTTATTCTGCTTTTTAATAAACACGTAATCATCGGATTTCAATCACATTTTTCCCAATTTTTTTCTCCCTTTTTCCAAAAATAGGAGTAAATGGTAAAGTTGTCTCGCTTTGAAGAAAACGAATATGGTGTGGAAAACATGGGATTAAGAAAACATACACAAACATGAATTCTCTTTGGCGATATTCTTGAAAGATTAAATGCATTACACTTAAGCCTTGAATCCGAGAAATGAAGGTTTATGCCGATCAGAAAAAATAAACAATGAACGCTAGCTGAGTATTATTGCGGTCAAATTACGATTTAATGAGTGGCAATTCATTGAGTTCAATTTAATGTAATCACAGATGGTTGCCACTTGTGGAATTTTATTCTCCACTCCCTCCCTCTCAACTTATCACCACAAACCTCTTGTATCTATCCCCTCCCTTCACAGTGTTGCATTCACCAAGTTCTTCACCTAATGTCCTGCCTTTACTGCTAACAATGTTTGCGGAGAAGAAAGCCTTCTGCATTACGACCAGCAATTCTACAAATCCTTCTACGTACCGTACGCATTTCAATCACTTATCTAAAAAATTATTTTATTTCCAAATTTACAGAAAACAAGGGCACCAAACTTATGACTAGTCATTAGTCGAAAATGTTGCAGTATGTTAGTCAAATCCATTAACTAGTAAAAGATATATAGAAGTAAGTTATTCCACTCTATAGATTTCGAGAAAATTTGATACTGCACGGAAAACCGAGCAGACAGAACCGAAAAGCAAAACAGTCACGACGTTCTACAGGTTACTGACGTACACTCTACTAGAATCCAATCACATCTCGTGGCATCATACAACGTATCACATAGTGATATGGAAATTTGTAGCTGTCTTAAAGCATTCATATTAACAGCATTGCTAAAAGTGGCCATGAATCCTTGAATTTCCTTGAATCAGATAGGAAGCCCGACATAAGATTGTTATACATGTAGTCATAGCACGTACGGTTTGCTTCCACATATTAATTTTTAGAAGCATAAACATGGTAAATGAAGCTGCACGAAGCAAACGGATTATACTGTACCAGCTGTGTTCTTTCAGATGTAGAATCGACGAAACGTCGTGTGAGGACTACTTTTACTGAAGAACAGTGCACAACCCTTGAAAAAAAATTTCATGAAACTCATTATCCAGACCAGTCGTCTAAAAAGCGACTTGCCCTTTACTTGAATATTCCAGAAGATCGAATCATGGTAAATTACTTGTTTCACAAGATCGGTTTTCAAAAAAGACGACTGTTTTCTTTTTTAAGATAATAAAACCTAAAAATAAAGTATAAATAAGCAAGTAAGTAAATGCATTCTCAGGTATGGTTCCAGAATCGTCGTGCCAAATGGAGAAAACAAGCTCAAGAAAGGCAGAAGCGCTACTTAAACAAACAAAATGAAAGGATTGAAAAACACTCAATAGTTTACGAGGATACAAGAAATGAGTATGTGATACAGGACGCAGTAATGAGACAGGTCAGTAATCGATTTGGTTACAATGAGTGCATCGGACAGGAGCAGAATCTTCCAGCAAATTATCCAACTCAAAGTGTTTTTACATTAGCAAATGCATGGCGAGCAGGGATCAACAATAAATTGCTTTTTATTCACTAACTTAGCATAGTTCTTGCAATGTACGTAGAAAAACAGCACAAAATGTGATACTCTTAGTAGAATTTTACGGCAATTTTTTTGCGTGCTTCCTCTTCACCATATTTTCACGTACAACTTAACCGACTCACCTGTAAAACTGCGACATCAATATCAGCAGACTTTGAAAGTCATGTAGAATGGGCTATCGATTCAATTAGCGAATTATGGATGGTATTTTGAAACATTTACTTTATTATTATATAATGGTTGAAATCAGTATTGTTTTATGAAATGTGACCTCTAAAGTACTTCATGCTTCTGAAAGTGGAATCTTTTAAGATTAAAGATAAATATGATCGGAACATTCCGTAAAACACAAACGGGTTTAGTCCATTTGACTTATCTGCACAGCTGTAACATCCGATAGTTTTCGGATATCAAAACAGATTTCGAAATATGATAGTGAATTGAAAAGCAGTAAACCTCACTTCGTACGAGTTAAAAACGAAATATAGAAGAGCTAACAGTATACGCTGTCACAATATTCTTTTAGAGAAAACTTACAAGATTTACTTAGCCTCACCCATGGTAGAGTTTCTGCTGCACCTTACTCAATTTGTAACAGCATAAAGTATTATTAAAAGTATATTTCAGTGTTACGACAATAAACACATTACGACCCGATTGCCCTCACAAAGAAAGAATACTGTAACGGCCACCCACGAAGTGTATATGTGCTAAAACAACATTTATTGGAACATTGAATTGAATTTCATAACATAACATTTTCATAACGAAACAGGACACAGTAGCAAAAGAGAATTTCGAAGCAAGAAAAACAACTTTAGGTTTTTAGGACTTTTATGTGAGTTATACTACACTCAACCAAGCAGGACTAACCATTATCGTTCTTGACATCAAATCAAAGAACAGGGAAAAATGAGGTGTTTGTGGCGAGAAATATAAACGGAAATCAAACCAAATTCGTAGATAAAAGAAAAAAAAATGAAATTCGCACTGGATTTACTCTGTCTACTGGATTTGCTTGGCCCTGAAAATAATTTTTTTATCTTATGCTTCAGTGACAATGCAAAGGATGGTAATGAAATTTTCAAGTGTTAAATAAAAGGATTATATGTAATAAACAGCATTTTTTTTTGGAGTAAACTGGCGTAAGAAATCATACTTTTTTCGTCTTGCTGATTTTATTACACCCTGCAGACCCTGGCGCAAATTGGTCGAAATTCCAGAAGGAGATCCGTTCGCATCCGGTTTACGGGTGCGCAGTCGAGAAGCAATGCTTTCCTAAAACCGATAACATTTAACAAGAACGTGGAATTTTCATTTCATCGAAAGAATACCAGTCCGCAGCGGTGCAAACATATCATAGAAATTCGTCTTTATAACATAGAAATCCCTCTTCATTCATTTCTTGATCACTCAGTCCTGATCTTACACTTTACCGTAGTCGTTTGTCCATCTGTTTTCCCAATTATTTCCGTATTTATTACACCGGATCCTTGCTTTATCTTACGGCCTATATCAACATCAGCACTATCCTTCTGCTTCACTCTACCACCAGATGCACCTCCACCACCATTCATTACACGTTTTTTTTTAGCCCCAACAGTTGGAACTGCAAATTTTCCTCGTTTCTTTGGAGATGCTTTTCGAGTGATGTTTCTGAAAACACTTCCTCTAATGTTTACAATCGGTATTTCCAATCTGTATCAATTACACAAACAGAATAAAAACCTTCGAAGTCATATGATATTAACAACTTTTTCAACCAGCTGTCTGTTTGCACAGCTCCACATTGCAAGTGTATTCAGAAAAGTTTTCATGACGAAGGTGAAGTTCTAGGTAAAACTTTATATTATACACATTGATCAAAAGGTTTAAGGCAATATTCCTGCAAAAAAAACTCCCAGCTATTCTTCCCAAAAAATTGCACTAACACAATTACTAGGTATTTCAAAACTACCAAATCTTCGCATCTAGTTAGTTTTATGCACAACTGCAGGTGCATATAAATATGGGGACCATTTAGACTCAATCATTGTTCAGTATTTGAAAACTGTTCCATAATACCACTCCCTTCATTAGAAAGTTTTGAATTTCGGTGGGAAAAGTAATTTCCTTATAAGATTACTAAAGAGTTATTGTTTTAACTGAAAAGAAAGGAAAGACTGAACAGCATCGCATACAGCTTCTCATAAAAAAAGCTTCTCACTCTTCAGATTCTTCGATTTTCCCAAAATTCTTCTTTCGCGCTCTGCCACCTTTCTTAACCGATGTAGATTTTCCCTAAATATGTACCACTTCAATTCATGTTTTAACAACAAATAAACTTCCCCACTTCACTATAAACCTTCGTAAGCAACTGCAAAACAATGATCTCATTATCAGATCATGTTAAGGAAAATTTACTTTAGAAGGCGCTGAAACACGGGAGTTTGGGGCACCTTTCATTGTATCTACTTTATGACCCAATCCCACACTCGCTCCTTCCTTTCCACGTTGACCTTCCGATCCGATTTTTGACACAGCTGTTCTTTTTAAAGATCTTTTACGTCCTTTATAATGATCAGCAATATCTGAGATGTCCTGGAAAAATATGCTTCCAGCGATGCCTAGAATTAAGTTACAGCATACATAAAAATTTAACTCATACAAATCCTTAATAAACAAACTTCGTCAAAAGCATTGATTCACATTTCCAGAAAAAAAATACATTTTGATTTCCTGTGAAATTTTAAGAAAGTCATGAAAATAAAACCTCTTTCATGTTATCATCAATATTACTGCCATTAGTATTATATGAAGCATCAGCAGGTGCATCGAGTGCCCAAGCCACACATTTTATCTAAAAAATGAGAGAAGTTACAAATAACATTACTTCATTTTAATATATGTATATCACTGTCTTTGTTTTAGTCGCAGCCGACCTCGCAAGTTTACACTACTGTCTGTTTTAACCATCCTTATTATTCCCAATCAGTCGCACAATACAATGCGAAAAAAATATCTGTACCGTTGAATTGTTGTTTTGTTTTTTTTCCTTCCCGGCTGGATTTTTGAAGCTGAAATTCTTCGCGCATTTCCGCATTTGCGATCCACTTTTGCTTTGGGTGATTTTTCGCGTAGGCTTTCTGAAATGAATCACGGATGCAAATACCGACTTCGAAAAGAAATATTATATTTGTTAAGGGATAAGTCAGTCTATCAACTACAGAAGTGATGTCCTGCGTTTGCCTTGTGCCTTTTCTCCTTTTTCAAGCAAAAAACTTTCATTTACCTCTTTTCGATTACGTCCCTAGGTTCTTTGCGTGCGGTGGACTTCTTCGTGATGCTTTTAGCAGAAAGACTAACTTTCGTTGCTTTGACAAGAGTTTTTGTTTTTCCCTTCATTTTACCACAAATTGTATTACTAAAAAAGGAAAAACTTTGTGAAAGTACGACGATGAAATAAAAGATGAAACGTTTAAAACCACCAAAATAGTGTGATAGATCAAATTTGAAAAAAATTTCCCATGTTGCACAACGGAAGTTGTAGCAATTCATTAAGCAATGTCTATAACAATTCGATAATGCGTTGGGATGAACACGAGTACATAAGAGGTTACAACGACACAAACTAGATAAGAGTTATCAATGAAGAATCCCTCAAGGCAACCATTCTAAACAAGGTATTTTCGAGCATAGCAGCGAGGAAAATCAAAATTTAGGGTTTGACTTCGAATTTCATTTTCCCGAACCACTTCGCAAACCGATCCTCATATTCGGTGACAGTATTTCAAATGATTAATATATATCGGTACATCTCAAGCGTTTTAATAACTAAATAAATTAACTTGCAATAGTTACCGACCAAAGCACATTTATAATACGAAATGAATTTCAATGAGCAACAAAGTTCATTCCTAGGACGCTCAAGCCCAATAGATCAGTTTTGAATACTGCACAAGCGATAATTTAAGGGATGATAAAGAAACTCATCGAGCTTCTAAATGAAGCTCCCTGCCAACAGCTAAAGATAGCTTGACGGGTTGGGATTAAGGGAAGTTCTAACCAACAAAATGGTAAGAACAGTTGAGAACCTTTCCAGCACATACATTTCACAGCACCAAATACTGGCGAGACCTCGCTCAAACCAACGAACGAGCTATTTTGGGTCAACCCAGGCGGCAATAATACGGCCCGATCAGTCCTGAAAAGTGGTACAAATGCTGGGGTGTTACTGGACGATTTACAAAACAGGAATATAGTTATTCCAGGTGCTCCGCCCAGAATTTTCCCGCCACTTCGGAACTTAAACGATGTTTCTCCGAAGTGATTTTGAATTCAAGCAGTCCCGGGAGATTGTCGGTGGTCCGGCAAAGGGCATGAAATCTTCTAAATGGCACAAACGAACGTCTGGTTAATATCTTCCAAATCTTCGCTACCAACTGGAGATCCTGTTTCAAGCCGATCGTTTGCTTTGATACTTTTTCAGAATTTCCTTCCAAACTACACAGGCGCATACACACACAAACACATACATAAATACACACATATGCACGTACACATGCACATATGCATACGTACACACATACACACAGACACATACGCATACACGTACACATACACGTACACAGGCACAGACACAGACACAGACACATACACACACACACCCATACACATACACGTACCCAGACACAGACACATACACACACACACACACACACATACAGACCCATACACATCCCATAGTGTCTATTATCGGCGACTGGTGAATGATGTCCACAGAGGGCAATATCTTCTTTATTTGTAGTAGGAATCGTAAGGTTTGAAAATAATAAATTCTGTTAATTTGAAAGTACACTCTAATCAAAATTTCAAACACATTAGTTTGTCAAACCTGATAAGGACAACTCCCGTCTATCATCTACTCACCGCGCGGTTGGCGACCGTTATTTTAGAGTAAAACGATAACGCTAACCTATCTCATCACATGGTATATTTACTGAGTGCTATACATTGAAAGGATGTATGGCTTCACCCCTCCCTCCCCGCCTCCCTAACATGCAACCAAACACCATTTGTAGGAAACGCGTTACGATGTGATAAGTGAGCTTTCTGGGGATTATGGTGTAAAGGGAAGTTCCCATTATATCGTGTGAATGAATTGTGGAAAGAGTTCTAGTCAAATAATCCCTGTGACCAAAAATACCAGCAGCACCTTTATTTTCAAACCACATCGACCAGAACACATGATAACATATAATCAATCAATATTAAGCCAAAACCTGACCCTGAACTCTCAACAGACCAAAGTTGAGAAGAGATAGCGCAAATAACAATCTTACCTTGATTACATTAGAAATTCCTAGAAAATTCTACTTCAGCACTTTTGCAGGATTTGCAGGAACGTACAATAAATGAAATTTAATAAGGCAAGAAATTGCAAAGAATGCTTAGAAATCTTCAAGTATCTAAAAAACTGGTAACAATCCATGAGAGACAAAAGATGTTCAGAAAGAAAATGAAAGCATTTAAGGATGCATATTAAAAGCTTTTGCAACCTGTAAAGCAAAGTAATCACTCTGCGTCGTGGCGTTAATGAAAACTCGGGAAGTAAACGTTGTCAATCATTGCTTCACACCTGTTCTAAGGCAATTTGGAATACTCAAATCAATTAAACGCACGGTCTGCCTTTCAGGCCCTTTCCCTCATAAAATGTTCTTTCTTCACAGATAACCTTACAGAGAGCATCTGAAATGCTGCTTCACTTCTACAGATTTAGTAAACAATGTTAGTGGAACTTGTTCCCGTCGTAAACTACTGTAATATAATGCCAAAAAACAATAAAAACCGAGCAATGTTGACAGAGTTAAAAATAATCTTTAAAACATCAAATCAGAAAAAAATGCGTTATGAAAGTTATAAAAGTTACAAAAGTAATATAACAAAAAACAGAGCACCCAACAATAACAACAGAACAGGAAAACATCATGCTGCAGAACACCTTTATTACGGCTTTTATGAAGAGTATTTCCACTAGTGCTGCAACGATCACCAGTGATAAAGCCATCGAATAACGCACTTACTCGAAATTCATAAATTAAAACTTTGGCATTCTGTTATATTACTGTTCAAGGTATGCTTCATTGCAAGACAAAATCAGCTAAATTATATCAGCATAAAATCCATCTACTTTTCCGATGCAAACTGCTACTCTCGCAGATATCACTTTTTCTTTAAATTTATGGAAATTTTTGATGTGGCTCATCTTAAAATTCTGTAGTATCCAAAACTACTGCTCCTTCTGAAAATACTATATACACGTTATCACAAGTTTTTATTTGTTTCAGATGCTTCATAAATACTGACCTATAGATTTTGTTGCGGGTTAGAATTTCGATGATTAGGTGTCCAAGGAGATCAGGAACAGTTGAAAAAGCAATCACTTACGCGATATGTTTAAACAAAAAGAAGCGACCGAATACTAACAGCGTAATAAATTAACAAATTAAATGAAACGACGGCTCAATGGTCCAGATCATATGGCTTCTAATAATAGATGTAAATTTTGTTTGCATTACGACTATCAAACAAGGTATCTCCTAAATGGTTAAATAGTTCTGGTGTATGGTAGTGTATCATTCTCCGAAAACAATATTTTTTAGTATTCTATCCCGAGCTATAATGTATTTTGGAAACATAAGATATGATAATAACTGCATAACTAAAAGCTACTGCATCGCGCATATCAGATATGCACTTCGCCAAAATAAGAGACTGATTTACAAATTATAACAAATTATGTAAGAGGGAAATGAGAAATCTTTCCAATAGAACATACCATATTTTGAGAATAAATGATGAATGTCACACATCTGAGTTTCACTTGTTGAAATCATATGCTAAAATGAATCATAACCAAGAAGGAAAGAGCTTGAACTATAACATTTTACAGCCCACTAGAGGATGAGCAAAAATTCTTCTTCGGTATTATTTATGCAAAAGTGAAATAAAAAAATGACAACAAAAAGCGAAACTGGGAATCAGATTTCCCAAATAATTGGTATTAAAAAAGTTGGCCAAACCGTTATATCTAAAGAACTCATTCCACAAGAGAAGAATGTTCAAAAACCATCAAGAGCATCTCTACGTGGGCAGATGAGTAATTCAAATAATCGTACGAGCCCTCACCAGGAAATAAAATTTTTCATAGTATTTGGTGCTTTACATATTCCTGATAGCGTATCTCTCGCACCAATCATTAATATGAAACAGAAAATGAATTTGGAGATATTGTTACAAAATAAAGAAGAGCATTCTAGTCTCCCGACATTCTCCTTCAAAAAGTTCACTTTTTTTCCTCATCACAAACAGATTCTGAAATCCAAACTGTTTGGAAAAACCAGAGTAAGTTATCTGAATCGGTAAGTCTGACATTTTACCACACCTTTCAGGAGAAATGACCATTAAAATTATTTTTTCTACGGACCGGTACTTTGCGGCATATTAAAATCATAATATTAATGATACAGTGACAGCATATAAACCTGGTCTGCAGCCGCTAGATATGCGGTTGGAACTATCATCACAGAAAAAAAAAACTGGTCAGTCCTGTTCTCAAAATAGTGCGGAACTATATAAGCACCAAAATTTAATCAAAAAATATATATTTGTAATGCAATACATTCATTTAACTATAACGGGAAACACGCAGAAGTCAAGAGAAAGTGTAAAATAGTCGAATACAATATAAAATGAATTATTTTTTATAGGACAAAGTAATGGTGCCACAAATTTAATTTATTTGGTGTAATAAGATGTGCCATCCACATCCTACAGGTCCGCAGCAGTAAACATAGTGAAAATATTCACACCACGTTTATCTTCTCGGGTGCGCTTTATATTATACTCTTCACTTTCGTTTTGTCTGCGTCTATAGACATCAAATAATCCACTGTTTGCATAATTTCGTGATGAACAAGAAACCGAATTATGAAATGCAGGAACAGAAGTAGGGGTCCAATACTGCAACGCCTGAAGACTGCTGATTAAGTGATGTTCCCACAGACCCAATTTACCTCTTGATACCCTTTACTTCATAAACCACACTATATCAAAATAATGGTGCACAAACTTAAGCCGCTTATTTGGTTTAATAAAACATGTCACAGAAGAGAAATCTTTCGAAGCTTACATGTACCTACTTTCAAAACACTGCATTTCAGAGATGAAGCAGTAGTTCGGGGCAAAGGGAACACTATAATAGAGAGATAGCAATAAACTTTTCAAAGTTTTCTTACTAAGAGACTGCGAATATAAGGCCAAGAACAACTACATTCGAAAGCCAAAACAGGCCAAAATCTTTATATCGAGAAAAGTGAAAGGCTTACCTGCCGAGTGCCTTGCTTAGGTCGAACCGAAATTTGTTTGCTGAAAAGCTCAATTCGATCAAGCATTTCACATGCAAACGGAACACTCACTTCATGTTTGAACACGATTAATGCATATCGATGTGCCGAACCACAGTCACGATTACTGCTAGTACGCAAAATGATTGTATCAAGGGGTCCCACCTTAATATATTTCTTCTTACAATTAATTTTGGAACGAAGATTGACTAATCCAGTACATAATAACAGCAGCAAGGCGTAATATAACCTGATTTTGCATGATTAATAGGTGGCAATTAAAAGGCACAGACAACAGACCTGACTGAACAGCTCCTTAAGAAGTTCTTCAGTGACGTTTTCATGGAGATTGCATACATAACAGGTCCGTTCACTTGGGTCATTCATCCCTCCAACATATGCGATATATCATGCGTATACAATGAAAACAGCTAAACATGTGAATAATTAAGTTATATATTAATAAGTACGCCGTTTCTGGCCTTTCAAACTGACATCCCATCCACCATGCAGACTTTACATAATCAGAAGTAGCTAACAATTCAGATTCCCTACATTCGTTCCCAGTACACTAAACACACTTTGCGACGTCCTTCAACACACACCACATGAAATGAAATCAGCTTACTTGGTATTCCAAACTAAGAATGGTTGTCAACGATCCCAGTAACTCTAGTTCAATCTCAACAAGTAAAGTTCGACATGACAACAATCCATCCAGCCACTGAAAACTTGATTACACTTCGCCCTGCTTTATATGAACAAACAGCTGTTCCCGGAGAAGCCACCCACACAATACCAACTGGGCCAGCTACACGGTATTAACCGTGTAAAACCTATTGGTGACAGGAATCAAAGCGAAACTGATGGAGAATTCCCTACCTACGCCTTCCCCTAGTATTTCTCTAGCAAACCATTGTGTAGGGGAAGTCAGCTACATTCCGCACTCCTCGCATTCTGCAAGACTGCAAATGGCTTTTCAGAATGTGGCAATACGTTACAAGCCACGTGGACTGTCCATTCGTCCATCCATTCAAAGGCTCATCTACGTCATCACGTCTCCTGCACATCAAGGTAGGATCTTGCTATCTCTGCTGTTGTACTATATTGAACAAAGCTTTTGAGAATTTTTGAAGACAGGCTGAAGGATAGGAAGGCACACAATTTATAATGCACACGATGCTTGAGCTCGTTCTGAACAGTTCATTACACAGCTTCACCGGAGTGTAAGAAATACAGTTGTGTCATCACTACCAGCCTTGTGTTAACAACTTTCAAGAGGGAGTTCAACCTTATCTTATCGCACTGCCTTTAGGTTTTGAATATCATCCTGGCTATCAGACGAACTGCATGTCTGATGCCCTCATGATCGCTATTGCAGCACCTTAGTAAGGCTTTTTAAGAAAAGCAACTGCTAAAACCCGCACACATTCCACGCAGCATTTCACGTCCAACCGCCTGCATTAATATGAAATATCCATAACGCTTCGCCAGACGTATCGCAGTACTTCTAGCAGTTATCATGAACTCATGCTGGCGATTGTCAAAATATCATAGCTTCGCCAGCATGCGCAGTCCTACCCTTTAGCTTGCGAACAAAAAAAGTTACAAGCGAACTTTATGTCACATGTTTCTCACCATAAGGTAAAGTACGCATACGCGCAATTGTTCGAATGATAAAATGTTCTTTTTTAGCAAACTTCAAATCAACATTCTTAGTTGTCGCAACTAGACACCATTTTGCGCATGCATTCAGTTAATCTTTTCTTAGCTGATATCAAATCGAAATCCCGAGTTCTGTATAATATATAATAATATTCAGCTACAGAAAATTTACTAAGGAAACAATGTAAGGAAGCATAAATGATTAGGAAGCCAAAACATTTCAGTCTATTTAAAAACCTTATTACACAACCATTCATTCTTACAGCGGATAAGATAATGAGAAGAATAAGTTAATGAATTGTGGAAACACAGAAGATGGTGTGTTATATCCTGAAGTGACCATTAAAAAAGCACAAACATACACACAAAGAAAATACTACAGACTTTGTTTTAAACATCCACTTAGAAGCAAAATTCATGATGAAGAATTTATTCCAGTAAAGTTGCTACAAATGATTGCTAACAGTATTAAAGAAAACGACAAATTACTATGTTCTTACTAGAACACACCAAAACCATTGATACCTTTCAGCTACGGAAATAATTACAACAGTCGAAAAGACAAGTCGATATTATGTAATGCCGCTATTTTTATGAAACATAAATGTAGAGTAAAAAGGAAAAAGACACTACCATGCAAATCATCGAAATTTGGAAGAAATCACGGCCAGCACTTTCTGAACGTTTGGTTCACTTTCATCAACATCACTATCATCTTGCTATGAATATGCTGAGAGCTGCAAACAAGTCCAAGCTGTGGTTTTGCTACAATAACTAGTTTACTTACATAAGCTTCACAACTGACGACATATCGCATAATATTACATGTCATTCACTATTTTTTCTTTTTGGAATATCCCACTTTTAAACCATATAACGAGGTGATGACTTTCGTAACCTGTGCTACCTAATAATATTTAATATTTATTGCTAGCCACTTAAAGACTGTTCACATTACACTACGTAAAGAACGTATTTTTAGTGAGCAATCGGCACCACATGAAAAAAGACGAATTTCTGGATCAACATGTAGTTGTTGCACTCCTTGTACTACTGAAGCCACTTGACGCAGGCTGAATCCTCCTCGAGCAACATGTTCGCTATCCAACGAAGTCACAAGGTGTGGTACAAGATCGGTATTCCAAACCTATTAGATTTATGCTTATTAATAAGGTTTTAAATAAAGAGCGAAACTAAGTGAAATAACGAACATCGGAAAATCAATACCAAAAAAAAAAAATCGGTCAATAACTTGGAAGTGCATACTTCCCAACGCATACTAAGCATATTTGATGAATTCATCCTTTTTTTGAATTTGTTGGAAGTTTTCTCATAAATAATCATTAATTAACCTTTATATCCCCATCATTCGATCCAGCAACAATGATCTGCTGAAAGGGATCACTCACAAGACATTTGACAGCAGAATTTTCAAAACACTTCACAGTAGTACGTAGTCGACGTTGTCGAATATCCCAAACACACAATTCTCCATGTCGTCCGCCAGATACTATAGTCTAGAAATCGTTTAAATACCATCATTTCTTTTAAAACATAGTACGTGGACTTATTATAAACGAAACTTTCAGGAAAGATAAGTTTATAACATACGAGCACAACTTTCCTGACACCTTTCCGTTTACCCTCTTACAAAGTTTTCAGTTCCCAAAAATTTCCCAAAACAAAATACAAACAATATCCGTTTTCCATAAAGTAATCTTTATAATCAAAGAGTAGAAAACCTGATATGACGACAAATACATCACGGAAGTTGCTCCTTCAGGGTGTGCTGTCCAAGAATGAATCTGTGCTTTTGATTGCGGCATAAGGGTATCCCAAAGGCTAATGTTTTCGTCTGATAAGCTCAGACCCGCAGTAACCAGAACAGAAGAAGTGGAACCCAAAAACCGAACATCTGCTGCGGATTTAGAATGACATTTCTGATTCTGAAATAAAAGTGAAAACCACTCACAATTATATTTGATGCGCAAGCGTATTATCAGGAATCGAAGAACTCACGAAGAATGGCTTTTTGACTGGTAATCCTTGAGTTGTCTGCCACAAACACAACATTCCATCGTTGTCAACCGAAGCAAATTTGCTTCCATTATAAGAGAATAACACTTTCGTCACCTAGCATACAGAAAAAATTATCAATAATTTGTAATCTCGATTTAAGCAAACCTTTGGGATCAAAAGAAAACAAACTTTGGCATACTGCCCAGCTATTCGAGGTGTAAAAAACGGCTGCCCAACTCCCCACTCCCACAATCGTATTGAGCCATCTGACGACCCACTCACATCTGTAAAATAACGACGTAAAAATCCAAATCAAAAATCCAGCCCCCTTTTCAATGCCTCGAGATTAAATCAATATAACTACAAGAAACAAGAAATAAACAAAGAAGAAGTGAGTATTAGTGGTAACCATCTGAATGATTTAAGATGTTATGCCCCATTCAATGCACCACTGCATTCCCTGTAGATTTTCCCCGAAACTAAAGCGATGAATGTAACAGTCAATAGAAAGGTTATTGATAGAAAAAGGATTTAGCAAATTAAATGTTTAGCAGAAATAAAACGTACAATAAGGCATTGTGGGATGAGAATCGAGTCGCCGTATTCCATGAACTTGTCTCTTATACATCTGCAGGAAGTGTATAAAAAGATAAACAAGGGTCATAATAGCACAATATTCATGATCAAACAAACAAACAGACGCATGCATGTCAATGTTCAGCATAACCTTTTACCTTTCCCTGGTACAACTTTTATATTTACACCATATTCAAAGAATTTAGCAAAAATTGAAAGCTTTTAGCAAAATCAATACCCAACACAAGTCTACGTTCACAACATCCAGAACATTTTATAATGCACATACCTTCATCAAAGCCTTTCGGCTTCTATCAACAATAAATGGAGTCATCTGCATATATCAATAAATGAAAGTAAATATGACCAAGTTAATAGTAAATATGACCATATGATCAAGTCCAAGAAATGAAGGAGAATCCATAAACACAAACTCCGGCATGTTTTACTTAATTGAAGCCAAAAAAAAATATGGCGCTAACAATAACCAGAAGTGCCTACCGTATTTATGGAAGTGGTTTGTTGTCCATTTTCAGTTATTAACTGATAGTCATCATTATCCTGCAAATCTCGACAGTTGTACAGATTTAAAAGATAAAAAAACGCAACATTTTCAAGTACCATATTCGGATTTATTATACAGGAGAAATTTCTCGATGGATAATAATTCAGTTCACAATAATTTGCTTTTAAAATCTTCAAAATATAAAAATTGTTTGCATCTCATTTTTTTTATTGAAGACAAAAACAATGTTACCCAAGGCTACGTAAGCTAGGAAAGGCGTTTCAACTCAATTCCGAACACCAATGGAAGTAGAGAGAACAGCAGGGTTAACACAATGTAATAAATCAGCCAAGAAATTCATTATTGAACTGGAAAAGTGAATTATGATAAGGGATTTGTTGTAAGGAAGAACATCCAGTCCTCAAGTTAACTACTAAATACCATTTGTCATCATGAAAAGAAATCAAATCAACTGTAGACGTATACCTTAAGCACATCCCTTTTGGTTTCATCAAGTGCAACATCAAGTTCTGTTCGATTAAACAACCAAGACGAAAGCCTAAAGTTCTCCCCACCATCAAGCAAAGCTGTAATGTCCATTTCTTGTAATTCTCGTGTATTTGAAACTACTAACCAACTAGGCCTCACCTGTAAACAAAATTAAAAAATAAGCTCTTCATTCAGAAATGAAATCAATTGCATTGCCAAATTCCTCTCATGCATAAAGACAAAATGTGACAAAACTGATTACGATGAATTCATTTTAGCATGAAAATCAGGAATATACACGACCGGGAATGAGTAAACAATTACAAATTTCAAACCATATGAAGAAAAATGGAAAATAATGAAGTCTCACTACTCGCCATCTTTGAATTAAAGATTTATGTCATTATATTATAAAGCAAAAGCAATAAATTAACTGATGCACTAACAATAAATCACTAACCTCACTGCAGCAGAATGCTGCTATAGGCTCGTGTTCTCGTTGGACAATTTTGAACACATTTACGATACCTCGGTTTTCCAGCTCAACTACACCTTCCCGAAGGAAACTTTCTTCCTGAATATTACATGTAGGAGGAATACACACTTCAATAAAATAAACAATCTGAAATAGCCAATCAAAATTTAACGGATTTAAATGATTACAAAAATGACCTGCTGATCGCCGAAGCCAAATATATGCTTAACGAAAAGGGGCAAAATATGATCTTGACGAATCAGATAAAGCCAAATTCTTTTCACGGGCAACACAGACGGATCCGCACTTTCGAAAGGTGTGTTATTTGTTCCCATCAAAACACTGTATTTCATCAGAGACGATTCTGAAATGTATTCAAGCTCAGTAACAATTCCATGGAGCAACTGGATTATCTGTAAACAGAACACATATAATTTCACAAATAAGATGTGCAAAATTTTAGGAAATTTAAAAATAAATGCAGGAGAGAGAAAAAACAAGCAATGAATGCATTTTCTTAATAAGTTTTTAAATCTATACACAGTCAATAAGCATTCATAAACTTCATTTGTTTTCCTTTCTAGATGTATTTTGAACAGTTTCGTAAACGTGCTCTGTTAAAATAGTTGAATGTTAAGTACCTCCATTGCTGTCATCTTTTCTAATAGATAAGTCAGGAAGGAAGTCGGAAGGACATCCATCAGGTACTGCATACAAGTGATCTTCAAGTTGTTTCGCCCAATTCTCGATAAGTTTGAAAACAGCATTTGCACGAGGTGATAAGGCTGGTAGTTCTACAATTTTCTTTTTTTTATTGAGATCGTTGAAGCAAAAATTTCACACAAATTGTTTATAAATTAAAAGAACTTTAGTACCTGAATATTCTAAGCCTGCAAGCTGAAGAAAAGACTTCATTCGATACAACTGCTGATGGGTCAAAGCTAAACGTAAGAGCCACCATGCGAACCCTTCCGAATCACTGTGTTGTTTTCTCTGTAGTTGTTCTTCTAATTCAACTACTGATTCGTGGTGTTCTTCGTCTGAATCATAACATCCACCCAGGACTTCAGGTAATTCTGGCTAGAAAAAAATAATCATATACAAAATTCAACATGAACTCTAGACGATACTCTGGATTCCCACCGCGCTTTAAAGTTGGATATAAATTAACGAATTCACCAGAATTTCTAAGAAAAAAAAAGTTAAAGCAAAACCTCGTTCAGATCACCCTGTAAGATACCTTTTCAGCAAAAAACTGCACCATACTCTTTTTTGGTGGTATCCACTCATATGGGACTTGTTTTTCGAAAGACTTCGATTTATTTGTTGAAAAACGATCCGAGGATATGGTAGTTGCTTCGACTCCAATCACCTCAAATAGCAGTTTTTTCCATACAATATACGCAAGATACTTTTTACCATTAGAAGTTAATGAAAATCAACTCAGTATCGAAACTAACTTGAAATGATAAATCAACTGAGAGACAATTTTTGTCAGACTTTGCATGAGTTTCATTAGAAGGAAAAACGCTCGGCACTGCAGTCGTCCACTTCACGGGTGAGCCTAAATTGAAATGCCATTATAAAAACAATAGAAACACTTTTTTTTCCTGAATACAGGATAAGACGTAAAACCAACATACCTGGAGCTCTTGAAGGAGATACCTTTTGCCCTTTCCCCCCACCTCCACCGAACAAAATACCAAATTCTTTTGCGCCAATGTTACGGGCTGCTAATCGAAATAACCACCTTGCATCGTAAGTAGCAAGTGCGTATGCGAAAAGAGATGCAAAGACCTGAATTATTTTGCATCATCGCGCAAAGTTGTTCCAGCTCATTCGTCAATAACGTTAATGAGGAGGGATAAGCTTTTGATATACTAAAGAACCTCAAATAAATTTAGACAAAACATGAAGTAAGCATTCCCTCTGAATAGGTGAAACTAAAAACAGAAACTATGCTCATATTATGAAGGCTCACTGCAATGTAAATTTCAAGCACAAGAAGTTTAAGTTGCGGAACTTCTTCACCCTTTTCTCGACTTAAAATAGCCAGTAGACTTTCCACTCCCGGCCATTTCGAAGGCGATGTCGTTACTTGCAATTCGTCGTTTGTTGTTGCTATCCTTGATGACCTCGCCAATGCTCTGAAGAACTTATGAAAGTACAAAATAATCTTTCAATTTTTACAGTGTTTTCTTGGAATATATTTTTGTCATTTAAATAATTCATTCATTAAACTTAGAGATGATCTTTGTTAACCGCTTTACTCTATATTTTGCTATCAAATAATAGATGTAAATACATTTTGACATACCCGTGATTGCTTCCACAAATATTACTGACATTGCAAAGTGATTGGTACAAGCATGAAGATAATCCTTGACACAAGCTATAGACTTCATGGACCTGAAAAAAACGACCTATGGATAGAGATCGAAAAATAACTTAATGGCCGCAATTGTAGAGAATAATCGGTGAAAATAGTGTCAAGCATAAAAAGTGAATAAATTGACCAATAAGTATTTCTTGCAGTGAGAAAGATGTTTTTTTTTTCACTCATACGCCCTAAAGCATTTCGCAATATAGGATTTCTAATTTAAAATATCACTTTTCTGCTGAAGAGAAAGGAATTGGTAGTAGCGTGAAGAGCCGATAAATATCTTAGTGGTCTTCCAACCCTGACTTCGTGTTAGGAATTTGAAAGACTAACTTTAGTCAAAGAACTCTCGATCTGCGGAGGTTCAGAAAGATCAACAAGTGACAGCAAAATATCAGAACACAGACTTCTCACAAAACTGAGCGGCGATGATGTAAGCATTTCGCGCGGTGAAACTGATGCAATAAAAAGTGGAAATGAATGCATGATTGGTAAATATTCTGTAAAATATTATCATATATTGCTTTTATAATATCGACATTTACACGCATTAGATAAAAAGAAACTCCTTCCATTAAAAACTGTTGTCTGACTCAATTGAAGGAGTTTAGATTGCCAATGAAAGAGAGTTACTGTTTATAGAACATTAATTAGAAGACCACACTCAAAACAAAACAATTATTTGAATGAATATAACTCACTTAATTTTAGATTTTTTAACTGGAAAATGCAAAAAGTGCAAGCGCCGGAAAATAATTATTACATTTTATTTAATGGAAAATTTACCACCAGTAGAGAGTTCCAATGGTCCGTTATCTTGCTGTACTTCCATTTGTAATAAAAGAAGTTCCATTAGTGCAGCAGTTAAGCGATGACTCTGAGAATTGTGTAGAGTGCAGTACGATATAAAAGCGCGCAATAATTTCTGATTAGTGCATAACCATCGTCTACGATGCAACGCGTGGTGAAACCGGGCCGATATCTTTGTTCTATCCATATGAACAGTCTTGTAAAGTGGCATACTATCACTAAAAAGTTGTTTTTTTCAAAAACATGTACCTTTTCTCGAAAGAACCTATTTGATATCCCAGAATGGATTTAAGATGATAGCAAGAGTAATTTATTAGAAAAAAAAATAAGCACAGCTTCACTCTAAATAATCGAAAATACTTGCAACCAACAATATCGGTAATGTACAATATGTAAACATATAAACAATATAGGGAAAAGGTCTTGCTCAAATACTAACCATCTATGGAGAAAAACAGAATTCAAAACATTACATTATATCATCGTTGAATTCATCTTCATTTCCAGTGACACCATCAAGTTCCAAGCTATTGTAATCACTACGATAACCACATATTTTCTGCAGCACACTTACGCCTGCTTCCAGCCAATTAAGTAACTAAAAATTGAATAAAATATCTCACAGCTAAAGTAGTTTTTATGTACAACTGCAAAGCAAAAAGCAAGTATGGTACGGGAGCGCGAACTTTAATAATAAACTAACTTGAAACCTCAGCTGTCCGCCGTCTACCTCGAAAGCACTTGCAAGAGTAGATAACTCTTCAACCAGAAGCCGTAATGTCGCAGTGAGCTTCATATGCTGCGCAATGACATCTAGTGTCGCATCACTGCTACTTGCCTAAAGCGAACTAGCAATCATGTAATTAATAGCATAGAAATAAAGTAAATGGTCAGGTGCAGGAAAACTGAAATAATATCCAAGACAAACAGTTACATTTCTGAAAACAAAAAGAAAAAACACTGTAGTCATCTGTATTACGCACTCCATTGGAATCGTCCGGAACAACTGTAATGCTTTCCTTCTGCACCACGACTTCATCTTTTGTTTCCGAGTCATTTAATTGTAAATTTAGTTCGGCATCTACGTAGGCAGATGATATTGGTGTATTCCAGTCGATGGCATTTGATCGATTATTCCATAAACCATCATTTTTTGGCGATTCTGATCTCTAAAATAATGTCAGTTTAGCCAAATTAAGCATTCCACCAGCAATTGTCGAATTTGCAGATACAGTGCTTACTCCTAGCAATGAAGAATAAGTCCTCTGTAAGTCAAAATTTCCAAAGAGTTACATGTTCATTTTATGTCAATAACAATAATTTCGTTATATTTCGATATTTTAAAAATTTCAGCTAATACTGAGTGCTTAACTGAATGCTTGATGTCAAATTCTTACAGCGTGTTTATTGACTGCAGGCGACAGAGATGACGATTCCACTACGGTGAGATTTTTTGGTAAGCGCGCCAAAACATCAAGTGCAAGTAAGGGACATCCTGATGCCAAATGAGCGCTTGCAGTTCGAAAATACAATCTTCGCTCAGAAGGTGTGATAACTGATGCAAGATGTTTTGCAACTGCCAAGAACTTTTCAGTCGAACCTACCTGTAAGCAATACTGGTTTATATGAACGGAAAAAAGTGGTTTCTTTTCAGTTCATTTACAACGAAATGAATAAAACCAATAGAAACTGATTTTTTCACACCTGAATCCCAGCATTTAGAAGTTTTTGCCGAATAACCAGATGATGAATGCGTATGAATGAGTAGAAGTTGAATATATCTGATAAGGAATATTCCATTGAAGCATCCAAATGAACATGATCTGCTTCATCAACCAACGTGTTCGCTGCTCGAACATATTCCTTCAGATGCCAGTAAGCCATCGAACGTACAAAGGGATTTCTGTTAAAACTGCATTATCAAAACGTCAGTTGTTAAAGCTAATCAAACAGAAATTTATGAAAGCAGAATCATTATACAGTGCAACATACCGATTTGCTCTAGATGTAGCATCAAAATATTTCACATCCGTAACTTCGGCGTCGAAAATTTCTTTACAGAGCAACTCCCTGAGTAAATTACCCTGCTCTTCGTAATCTCTTTCACAAAGGCGAACTATTACTATTGCAAGTTGTAGATCTTGTAGCTTCCTCAATACTATCTGCAAAGAGAAAAAAGTAGCAAAACAACGAAAAGCAAAAAGAAAAGGTTAAAAATGTAGAAGTCACAAAAACGCAGACCTGTATAGCGTCTTTAATTGAACCAGCTAATAAGAAGAATGCAGCAGCGTGATGGAATCGCTGCTTCCCCATCAGTACAAAGGCGTTCTTTAGAGCTGCTTTTTTCCATTTCTCTTCGTTGAAATCATGCATGAAAAAATCCAACATTCTGTTGTCCTTGACGGTCTATAAACAGGATTGCAAATGAATATTTTCAGAGTGAGAGTGATTTTTATTAAGATGGTACCAAGAAAAAGGACCTGCCTTGAACAAATGAGTTAAGAGATTTTTTTTCTTCAACAGGAGATAATAAAGAGATGCATCCAATGGATCTTGATTCCTTTGAAAAGCCGCTTTTGCTAGCTGTAATTCGAATGAAAAAGAACATAGTTTTTCAATTTATTATACACTGACAAAAATAAATGTGAAAAAAAAAATGATGGAAACCAACTTTCTCAATGATCGCACGAAGTGACGAAGTGTTTTTTAGCCACCAAGCAACTCCTAAGGCCCGCAATTCTTCCCATGACAAAGTGGGCTTCTGTAGACAAGGAATTGCATTCAGGAGTTCAGTCTCTGTTTCAGAATGCAAAGCCCAAATAATTTGTGATGGTGAAAGTCCTCTGAAATGATGAAGTCACTAAAAGTTAATCAAAATATTTAGAAAAAAGAAGACGTATGACAAATATTAGAATTATTCGCTTTTCATGATTTCATTAAAACCAACTAAAATGGATGTCATATAAATAGAGATATCAATGCTTAAACCTTGAACGAAGACTATGTTTTTGCTGCAATGGTAGACACAATAACAAATATTCGTGTTGTTTCACGGCCATCAAATATCTCAATCCACACTCGTCAACAGTTTCAAATCCAACAGTAGGTGTAGCATATCCACTTGCTGCATCGGTCACGATCCGCGCCTCAGTTACTCGAAAAGCTGCAAATACAAATACGTAATTTACAGTGCATTCTTTTGCAAAATCGAAATCCTTTCATAGAATATGCACAGTTACGTACCTGCGTTTGCTTGCGTCAATTTATCCATGATATCCGATGAGAAATGGCTTAATGTATCCGCAACTGCCAAAAGGTGCATTTGATCAACACTTGACAAACCTACAATTATTTACCTCTCAAAGGTTAGTTATCAACAAAAAAGTTTATAAATAAGTTATAAAAGGTTAAACGTTTACCCGGTAAATGAGTATGGGTGAGAAATCCTGTCAGTAAACGATTGTGTCTTGCAGTAAAACTTGTTGCAGAAACTGTATGTGCATTATCCATAGAAAACGAGTTTTGACGTGATTTTCTCGGCTCACTGTCCATATCTAGTGAACCATCTAGACTATCATCCTTAAAAGGTTTATCAAAAAGTGAAATGCATCTACTCTGAAAATTGTATTTAAACAACACTTGCTTCACAAAAGTTTCAAATCTGAATTATACTTCTATTCAGTAACTACAGAATGTATGGTAACTGCAAATTACTTGTGGTATTTCAGATGCTTTCTCTCTAGCCATTGAAAATGGATCACCAACGGATAAAAGAACATGAAGCGGTAATAGTGGAATACCATCAAGTTCATCACATTCCAAGTTTGAATCATCAAAGGTATCAGTAAGTCCCTCCATAGCATCTTGTCCCGAACTTTCCATTTTCAGGTCTCCACCAGTAAGTGACATTTTACGCATTGAAGAGGCACGTGACAACGGATTTGGTATTGAAACATTCAGTTGCTGCAAATCAAAACATACGCTGCTTCATAAGCTGTTGTTGGTGTGCTACATGCAACCTAATCTGAAGCTATGTATTACGTATAGAATTACAACACTAACCTTTAAGCTTTTCAAAACATGTAGTAATATTGCTTTGACTACACGTGTCCTTCCAGAATTAAGTAACTCAATGAGCAACTTTGGATGGTACTGCGGCAAAATGGGACTTGCTAAACGCGCAGCTTCGAATAAACCTTCTTCGCTGACGGCTTCAAGTACATGCTCATCTTTGAAAAGCAGTGTTTGCAAATCATAGGGCACCGAATAGATCCTTAAAATTGACAAATAATAACTCACCAAAGTAATCGGACAGAGTAATCGAGGAGATCATAAAAAAAGAAAACCTTTGTAGCAGATCTCTGTACAATTTCTGCTTGTTCAAAGAGACAGGGTCCTGCTTAAATTTCTTTGATAACTGATCCAAGCTGGGATGTGAAGAGATACCCAAACTAGCAAGTGCAAGATGACTAGATGGCTTAATTCTGAAAACGTTGTATTCACCGTCAAACAAAAAAAAAAAAGAAAGAAAAAAAAGAGAAAAATGGCGCAATAGATTCTCATTTACAAAGTTTTGAAAAGACTTACACAAAAAACATACAACTTACTTAGAAAGGTCTTTAGTAACTTCCGCCAGTTTTTCTTTTTTAGGGAATTCCGCTTTGAAATTCCACTGACTATAACAACGCATTTCACTTTGCATGCCGATAATCAATAGACCGTTACGAACCCAACCCAACGTTGTTGGTAACGGTGGTAAACCATCAGCTGATTTAAGCTCTAAAAATCGTATGCAAAGCCAGCGCACCTGAAAGTCAAGCTAATATCATAGCAGTGAATCAAAAGTGTTTCAGCTAAATGTTTTCTAAGTTAATTTCTGCAAAATGTAAGACTGTTGAACATATTTGGAAAAACTTAATATAAATATTTGAACTATCAACAATTTTTACCCATTGCAAATAACTGTTCAGTAAAAAATGACTATTTTCTCTAACTAACACGCAAAGCAACAAAATGTTTTCCAACTCAAACAAATAAAGATCCCAAATACTTGGTATCTTTTTCTTTCCAGTGTGTTTTCACAATAGTTGGTCATTTAGTAATACCATGCTTCCTCAAAAAATAAAATTTCTCATAAAATTAATCCTGTATATGAACTTAATCCTGCATATAACACTGTATATTGATATCCATCACTTCGACACAGAGTTTTTTTAAAGTTGGAAATCATAGTGATCATTCAGTATGACACCAATAGATCAAAAACGAAAAGACCTCATAACTGAAAGAATTCAACAAGACTTTGCGTCCAATAGTTTTCTCAAAAAATCCTGCACACAAAAACAGTTGTAGAAATTGTACCCAATTTATTAATAATAAAGCATCTTATGAAACTAACCAAACGAGTTGATACGGTTTCCGGATTAGCGAGTGAAGAAGCCTTTCTTAGAGGACCTCGACGATGTGTGTCATGTTCTTTCATCATTACAATGTTTCTTTGTGCAGCAGCCTGAGATATTTGCGTATATAAAAAGATGTATGTACCCAATGCCACCGTAAGAATATGCGAACCATCTTCAGCCGAAACCCATTTCAGACATACATTACTGATTGGCATGCCTGCACAAAATTCTGAAAGTGTAAGTAAAATAAGACCTTGCAACATCTCTTTCCGTCTATTTCGTCCTTATGGAATTTGTGGTTGTCTCTCCTTTTAACAATTTTTAAAAAACTAGAAAGCGCATTTACTACAATGGATGTCAATCCTGCTTCTAATCAGCAATGACACTCTAATTAGCGCAAAAGCAATTATGAAGCAACCTGAAATAGCTGTATCCGATTCCTTGAGGTAGTTTTCGGCTAGTTCCTTACTGAAAACTATATCAGTTCACTTCAATTTTACTGTGATTCAACAGCAGAGTTCATTAAAAACGGGAAAGAAATCTTATGCTACTGCAATAACATATTTATTGTTGTGAATTCTAAATTATATTCTTTTCTCTGTTAAAATTATCCAGCAAAGAGCAATCTGATAATGTTTCAACGAAATGAGAAAAAAAACCTCATTCTGTGTCGGAGATTGACAGTGATTGTATCTTCACGAAGCCATTCAACGCCACCTGACGATTCACATTCAAACACACCAACCTTGACGCTATTTATCGATGAAGCTGAACCAGCCACACCTTCGGGAAGGTAGGCACAAGCAAATCGACTACTATGAGCAGCTGATATTGAATATATCGGACCTGAAACATCTATTTGTTGGAAACAATATTGTTGATGACCCGGTAGTTCACATACAAAAGCTCGAAAGCAAAATATTATTTGCATTCTAATAACAAAAAGAATTTTTACCATCCATCTCTATATTCGAATCCATGGTACTGCTTATCATTCCCCACGTCTTCCATTTGTACCTAGTTGATCCATCACTTTCAATAATTTTCAAACATTCATAAAATCGGATATTTTCATCGCTGCATGCCAAAAGAACTAGATAAGGTGCCCTGTATGTGGGATAAAGATTTGACGACGGCAAATGACCTGCTGATGGCTCCACCAAAATCACCTTAAGCAGTCCTATTATACACCATTAATGCTGATGGTATCACCATATGTTTTCTCACTACATTCCACTATATATTTTTTTATTTCATTCCATCGAAAATTTCATTTTCATTCTACTATTTCAAACCCCGAAGATAGCTTTTGCAATCCACTTCAACCTAGCACCATATCAGCAGCATACAGTTCAGCCTGAAATCCACAGTAGCAGTAAGAACTACCGGTTAACTGCTAGTTGAATGCCATATTTCCTACAACTACTTTCAACAAAATTTGGGTTAAAACTGATAACGAATTCTCAGCAGAACATCGTTAAGTTTGCTTATCTTCTAACATCAGTAACATGAAATAATGAGTGAAAAATAAAGAAAACTCACAGAAACGCCATCCGGCAGCACAACATGATCATCATAAACCAGATTAGAACTGAATTGCAATTTGCTCAAAAAATCCTCGTTTCCATTCTTTATATTGGCTGAACCCGACGAATCCTTTGTAGGCAAGGTGTTTTCAATCTCTCCTATAATTCAGCAAAACTTTATTCTATAAACAAGAATTTACGAAACAAGAATGCTTTAGATGAATCATTTTCATATCCCGATGAATTATTACACAAAAAGAAGACGTACCTACGTCTTCATAATCCGTTACAGCAATGTTAATCAACCACATGCGCAACCTGAAAGTACTGCATATATTAAGATACTAGAATATAATTAGAAGTGGCAGAACTACTTATATGGTTGCGAGACAAAAACAAATTTCACAAGGCGCAAACCTTGTAAGAGAATCCTTCTCTTTTTCAAATAATACCAAGTAATAACGATTGATGTTTGCTTGTTTAATAGCTAAATTTCGCGAAGTATCCGCGGCACCAAAAACGCGATCATTGGAAGCCAGCAAACGTTCATTGAAAGCATGAATAAGCAGAACACTGTCTGCACACTGTAACAGAAAATATCGAAATTTGCAAAACAAAATTAACGGAAGGGAACTTACAAAGCCAAGAACGAATTTTGAATGGGATATTTCCAAAGGGTTGCAGTGTTTTGAGTAAAAAAGATACCGAAGCAGCATTAATACTCGACAATAAAAGTATGCAACCAGGCTTTGTCGATGATTGCGTAGAAACAACTTTACACATTTTCGTCATATCTTGCTTATTGCGGATGTCGTAAGTTTTTGCCATATTTTGCTCATTTCGCATGTTTCCATCATTGATCGAACAGCTGCAAAGCGCTGATCACTTCAGTGCCATTATAATTCACCCCAATCATGCAATTTCGTGATTCATTGATTTGTGCAACAGCGTATTTTATATGAGATCATACCACAAATTCTCCACAGGTTGATCACGAGCAATAATTACAATGCCACTTAGCAAACAAGTGTGATGCACTTGCCCTATTCCAGCTCATTCTTATAATAACAATTTTTCGAAAGGTGAATTGTACGACAAAAGGAAATTCATCATCCACTTCACCTTTTGTTTTCCTCATGATTTCTATTCCTTTCAATCAACCATTATTGGAAGAGATTGATTGACGTTACATATAAGCAAAAAAATGACATTGCAATAACGAAAAAGCTTCCGCTGATTTTTTACAAAAAAAAAAAAAAAAGAAACGGCTTCCAAACCAAGAATCATATAACTTAGAAACTTATCCTTCCTTTTCATCAGTTTCCAATCCAAAAACTAATTAAACATTTTAAACTAACCATACCTTTCTTTGTCATGGAAATCTGAAATCTACTGAAACGTACCGCTGCGAATTTCTGCTTATTACATACAGGCATTATTTCCAGCTACATAAAAACATTAAAAGACAAAAAAACATTAGCAACTATTCAGCAAAATATGCATACTATTCAAATCACGAAGACATTAAAAACATTAAAAGAAACCTGCTTTCAGAATGGGAGGCATTTCTTCTTCCAGAAGCATGTATATTTGCGAGAAACTCCGCAGCATCAATGATAGCTTGATAAATGTTGATATGTCCAGAAGTGTTAGCCACAAAAGAACAGCTAGGTGATGTCGACAGCGATCCCAATAATGAACTGCATATATATATATATATATATATATATATATATATATGNATATATATATATATATANATATATATATATATATATATATATATATATATATATATATATA